CGGGATGAAAATCGGCTGATTTTTTTTACCATTGATGGTAACGTCGGCCGCTTGAACGACCGATTTTTTCGTTTTTTAAAAGAAAAATCTGCCGTTTTTCGACCCATCTATGGCCTGCATTAGGCTCCATCCACAGTAGCAGTTTTTTTTTAAGCTCAAAAACGCTGGATAAAAAACGTTGGTAATAGCGGTTTTTAGTAGCATTTTAATTTGCGGTTTATTAACGTTTTCATGGAGAAAAAAAAATAAAGCTAGAAAAAAAGCTGTTAAAGAGTGTTTTAGTAGCGTTTACTCTAAAAACTCTACAAAAACATTTTTTTTTTCTGCTCCTAAACGCTGAAGCTTGAAAAAACTACTAGCCTAAAAATAGTATACATGGATAAAAAGGATAACAATATTTAGCTTTTAGGAGCAGAAAAAAAAAATGCTAATGATGGCTTCTTGGAGTTTAAAAAACGCTAGTGTGCATACAGCCTTAATAAACCAAAATCTGGTATACTACTATTGTTACTTTTGCAGTAACTGTTCTTACCAATGTCTAAACTAGCACTGCACCTAGTTGCCTATATTAATATTATAAATGATATTGCTAATAAAATAAAAATACAACCTAGCCGGGGTTTTCTTTTTTTCACATGAAACTAATAACTGCTACTGAAAACAATGTGTGTGTAGGAACTTTCTGTAGTTCATTGCTTTAACGGACCTGAAATGATAAAGTCTTTCCTAAAATGTGAGTACATATTTTAAAAAATAGAAATGGACTGGTGGTGTAAGACACCCCCCGCGTACTTAGCTCAGTGAAAGACTCCTAGGGCAAGATCTCCATGCAGCCGGAGGGATTCCCCCATCCACCAATGGTTAAAGGAAAGAAAATTGCATAATGTATGGCCAGCCTTACATGTTATATAAACTGAAAATAGAGACTCAATAAAGTTCAGTGAATATATTTTTACATGCCTGGAAAATGGGGGATTCAATGCCACAGAAATCATCTTATTATGAACTAATCACCTATTACTTCCTGTAAATGGGAATAGTGTGATGACAACTGTAATAAATACCAATAATATTTCCAAGTGTCAGTAATAAACTGAATAGCAATGTTGTTCTGCATTAGTGAGAAGTATAAATTATATAGCAGACAACCTTATTTGTAGGATTAGTTTTATTCTGTTGTAATGAGAGGCAGCCAGGGGTGATATGTTGCTTGTCTTGTTTATTTTCATTAGCTTGTTGGTTTATTGAGAGTACACTTCCCCAGGAAGGATACAGTAGATTGGATGTCTTGACTTTAAAATGAGACTTGAAGGATTAGTACAATAATCTTCTCAAGGTTTAATTCACTTTTGCTCAAGACATGACCAGCTTTATTTTTAGGCTTATCTGCTCTTCCTTTTTCCATATAAATCTTTATTATGGATCTTTTTTTCCTTTTATGGGCCAGTGTAAACAAATGCCTTTTTTACTTATTTGTAAATCATTTTATGTAGCTCCCAATGTCCTTCTGGACAGTGGTCAGTACAAATCATTACAGTGCAACAAACAAGTAGGGAGGGAGAAAAATAATCAACATAATACATATTTTAACAACATTTAAAGGGATTATCTGATTGTTATAGATAAATGTACGTTTTTATACAGAAAACCTATTTTATCTTCTTACACAATCTAGTAATGCATGTGTTTTAAAGCAAGGACCAGAAAACTCAACATGCAATTATACATTTTTTAAAAGAAAACACAACTGTCTTTGCACTAAGTATTAAATATATAAGTATTTAAATATATAGTACTAAGCATTTAAATATATGTCTTTTTAGTGCTTGATTTAGAATAATGTAATTTTTACAAAATGAAGGACAAAGCAACTGGATTACTTTAATGCTTTCATCCACCACGGCATATGCCCATCTTTCCATCACTTCCTAACCTATTTGCTTGGAACAGGAAGCAAAGATAATATCCAATACTTATGGGTATATAGGGCCATGTGCTAGAGCTTGATTGGTTGTGCGCTGCACCTGGGGACAGGGAAGATCTTAACTGTGTAAGCTCAGAGTGGAGAAGCTCAATGCTTACACATGGCTGGTTTTGTTAGCTTTTGCTGGTTGAATAGAGCAGCAAGAGCACAAAGGAAAGGCTGGTAGGTGCTGTTGAGAAGGGGGGAATTAAAGTGACAAAAAACAGTCACTGCCCCAGTATATAACTGGCCTTCACAGCAAGGAGCACATGGAAGGACGACACATGTCAAACAACAAAACAGAAAAATTCCGTGCTCTAACGTGCCAGCCAGCCTGCAAACAAACCAAATTTACCTGTCCAGCAGTATGCGTTAAAAACATTTGCAAATACATACGTAAGTTACAGAACCACGTCACGGCACCCCAGTATTCTGTAGTTCCTAACTCTACAAATTTAAGAGCCCCCATAGTAAAGGCACATGTATTTAATGGATAGACCAAGGTCAGATGGACTTGAGGTAGCCTGAGGGATCCCTGTTGTTTTGCCCTGCATGGGTAGATCACACTTTAAATATTTATAGTAGAATTAAAGGTAACATTGTTTTTTTTTGGGGGGGGGGGGCAAGGGAATTTCCCTCCATTTCCTGTCCCAAAACAGGAAGTGAGTGGAAATCTATTTCAAAATAAGGAAAATCACCAGGTTCACCAGAGCTAGTGTCCCCATTGGAAAATTTCCCCTCTATCACTGTTTTAGGGGCAACTCAAAATTTGGGATTTTCTTTCAGTGACCATAGTAAACATGACAAATAGAGATGGTGAATCACCCTAATGGGAGTGCAGACAGCATTAGAAACCTAACAGGCGGTCTAAACCCTATCCACTCTATTCAAAACTAAAAAATAGTTTTGCCTTTAGTTGTAGAGGAATTTTGTCACTATATCTACTAACAAATGGTGTTTGACTGGTTTGATCAGTTAACATACTTCTTGTAAATCTGCTGCCTCTTTAAAAAGACATTTTGATCCCTTGCCCTCTTCCTCAAATCTGCTAAAACTTTCTGCACTGTACTATTATTAGGCACTGGAGGACATCACTTAAGGTAAACATTACCTATCTTCTGACAGGTAATTCAGAGCTAATGATCACAGAAATTACATTCCAGATTCTTCCATGATAAGCAAAAAAATATCTGTGAAAAAAAACTGGTGTTTTATATTCACAGTGTGTGTATATATATATATATATATATATATATATATATATATATATATTCCCAAGGAGAGCCACCCTATATTGTCAGTAAAATGCTGTTGCTTTGGGCAGCATAGTGGCTAAATGTTTAGCACTTCTGCCTGGCAGTACTAGGGTCATTGGTTCAAATCCTAACCACTGCATCACTTGCCTGGAGTTTGCATGTTCTCCATGTGCCTGTGTGGGTTTCGTCCAGGTACTCTGGTTTCCTCCTATACTCCAAAGACATGCTGGTAGGTAATTGGGTCTAAATTGGCCATAGTATGTGTATGAATGTAAGTTAGGGACTTTAGATTTTACACCCCTTGATGGTTAGGGATTGATCTACAATATATATACAATGTAAAGTGTTGCGTAAATTGATGGCGCTGTATAAGTACCTGAAATAAATAAATAATCTCCACTGCAAGGCCTGTGCCTCTATACCTGTTTTTGATATATACACTATATTGCCAAAAGTATTGGGACGCCTGCTTTTACACGCACATGAACTTTAATGGCTTTCTAGTCTTAGTCTGTAGGGTTCAATATTGAGTTGGCCCACCCTTTGCAGCTATAACAGCTTCAACTCTTCTGGGAAGGCTGTCCACAAGGTTTAGGAGTGTGTCTATGGGAATGTTTGACCATTCTTCCAGAAGCGCATTTGTGAGGTCAGGCACTGATGTCAGACAAGAAGGCCTGGCTAGCAGTCTCCGCTCTAATTCATCCCAAATGTGTTCTGTTGGGTTAAGGTCAGGACTCTGTACAGGCCAGTCAAGTTCCTCCACCCCAAACTCGCTCATCCATGTCTTTATGGACCTTGCTTTGTGCACTGGTGCCAGTCATGTTTGCATAAGAAGGGACCACCTTTAAACTCTTCCCACAAAGTTGGGAGCATGAAATTGTAAAAAAATAAATAAATTGTCCAAAATGTTTTGGTATGCTGACGCCTTAAGAGTTCCCTTTACTGGAACTAAGGGGCCAAGCCCAACCCCTGAAAAACAACCCTACACCATTATCCCCCCTCCACCAAACTTTACACTTGGCATGATGCAGTCAGGCAAGTACCGTTCTCCTAGCAACCTCCAAACCTAGACATGTCTATCAGATTGCCAGACAGAGAAGACATGATTCTTCACTCCAGTGAACATGTCTCCACTGCTCTAGAGTCCGGTGGCGGTGTGCTTTACACCACTGCATCCGACACTTTGCATTGCACTTGGTGATGTAAGGCTTGGATGCAGCTGCTCGGCCATGGAAACCCATTCCATGAAGCTCTCTACAGACTGTTGTTGTGCTAATCTGATGGCTTTAGGTCTTTAGCTATTGACTCTGCAGACAGTTGGAGATTTCTGCGCACTGTGCACTTCAGCATACTCTGTCACCACTCTGTCATTTTACATGGCCTACCACTTCGTGGCTGACTTACTGTTGTTCTTCCCAATTGCTTCCACTTTGTTACAAACCACTAACAGTTAACCGTGGAATATTTAGTAGCAAGGAAATTTCATGGATGGACTTATTGCACAGGTGGTAACCTATCACGGTACCACGCTTGAATTCACTGAGCTCCTGAGAGCGACCCATTCTTTCACAAATGTTTGTAGAAGCAGTCTGCATGGCTAGGTGCTTGATTTTATACACCTGTGGCCATGGAGGTGATTGGAACACCTGAATCCAATGATATGGAGGGGTGTCCCAATACATTTGGTAATATATTGTATATATAGTACATAATACAAATACCTGACTTGTTGAAAAAAAATGAAAGATGTTATAGTATTATTTGTATATTGTTTTATCATTACAGACAGCATCATCGGCAATTAAGGATACTATTCAGTTGGGAATACACTACACAGTCGGTAATCTTACATCCAAACCGGACAGAGATGTGCTTATGCAAGACTTTTATGTAGTGGAAAGCGTCTTTTTACCCAGGTACATTATTTCTACAGAAACGTATCATTTTCTGTACATCTTTTTTTACAAACTCGGGAGCATTCCTTCTCTTAAGCCCTGGTGCAGTAAGCTGTGTTACCATTGTCACTAAAACAAGCTTATAGCAATAATGTCACCATAAAACAATCATGCATATGTGTATCAGAGATCCTCTGCCTTATCCTATGAAACATTAAGTTACAGTAGTCTGTAAGCCTATCTTGAGAGAAGCCTGGACGCTGCCATTGCTAACCTCCCTATATAAATGCTAGTTGCCTAGCTCAAATGCAGAGTCTTTGACCTAAGCACTTTATGAGCCACCTACCAGGAACAAGCATGCAGCAAATGACAGACTGAAGTTAGCACTTTTGATCTTTATACTTGCACCAGGGCTTTGATTCAGAAAGAACTTAAAGCATTGCATTAGTATGCTAGATATGCAAATAGCATTTTCTGCAAGGGAAGGCATCAATGGCAGCCTCAGGTTTCTTACTGCACTGAAAAAAATATATCTAATGTGTTGTGCAACTAGTGGCTCCAAACCATGAAGCTATCTATTTGGCCCACCACCTCTTAAGCCTTGTTATGCCTTACTGTGTGTCTTTTATATTGTACGAAGCTCAGGTCAAGTACTCTTTTACATGAATTGACATCTGTATATGCATAGTAAAGTACCCCAGATTTCTGTGCCCCTGGTTATTTTAATGCTACTTTCCCACTGATCTGCGTCAAAAACGCGTATATTTTTACCGCGTTTGTGGTACGTTTTGTACAGGACATGTGTCTCAAAAAACACACCAAAAACGCAACACGGGTGCATTTTTGCCACTTTTTCCATTGATTTCAACACCGTTTTGGTGTGATGTTTTTACCCCACCACACCTGCACCAAAAATGCAGCAAGCAAGATTTTAAAAAATGCACCAGACCTGCAATGGATCAGTGTGAAGAGTTCCCTAGAAATACATGGTCACACATTTTTCTTCCGCTTTTTTAATGCAAAAGCAGAAAGAAAATAGATCAGTGTGAAAGCAGCCTAAGGTAACTGAAGTTAAATGCAGGGCTCTTAGGTGCCTGTAATACAAGTACCCTTTAAATCATAAAGAGTAACTCTACTTTTCTTTAGAAAAAAGAACTATCCCCTCTGGGTGATCTACGTACATTGCAGGAAGTTTAACAAACTTTTTTGTGGATTCCTACTTTTTTCGCTCTGAAGAAGAAAATGTAGTGATACTGATTATGAATGGGAGTGAATTTTTTCACTATTGATCAGCTGATGCACTTGCAAGGCTCTAATGAGAAAAGCTGCAGTGCTCTAATGAGGAAAGTCAGATGATGCCTAAAATCTGACTTGTATGTTAGTGCAGACTTCTGGGAAAATCAGTTAGCCAATCAAACAAGCAGGAAATTACATTTCTGGGGAGGTTCTGTAGCAGGGTGGATTTGATTTAAATCAAACTGATTTAAATCACAATTTAAATCACTAGTCGGTAAGGCTTGATTTAAATCATAGTTTTCTACATAGACTAATTCTTGCTGGTATAACTTTAATACGTAAGTTGATGAAGATTTTTAGAATAACAACTTTTCATATTAGTTTTTTTATCCCCAGTTTAATAGGTTAATCATTCATATTTGGACAACTTTTCTGTTGTACTTAGGAAGGAGAAAAATAATCATTACCTTAATAATAACAATTTAAATAGATTTATTCATCTGAAACAATAACATTACAGCATATGTGATTTGCTTAAACAAACATCCATGTTTGCTAACTAATTTGGCTAAACAAAATCTATATATTTTAAGAAACTTAGACTGTCAGCCCCTTCCTCCTCACACTTAGTTTCACTTTCTTCTTGTGGAGATCTATTCCACTCCAAACAATCAGAAAAATATTGTTTCTATTCTATTCACTGAACTTCTTGAAACTTAGCAGTGAAGGGGTTGATTCTGTATTCATAGGTTTGTAGAAGTTAGGATTAAGGTCTTTTTCTTAACTCTGTTCATGTTATAACATTTTTGCTGTGAAGAAGAGGCATGTGATCTCCGCTGAGTCAAATTCAGTTTTGAGAACTGCAAAAGTAAACCAAGCATCTGTGATAATATCTTGTAGGCAGAGAAACTGCCCAATAATCTTACAAAAACCTCTGGAAGAGCATGACATTGTGAATGGATTCATGGAATTTATTTACCAAAAGAATTAAACATATACAGCCTTATTCTACATAATTAAAAAAACTAATCTTTATTTCATGATGGAATAACCATTGGATGGTAATATATTTTCCTCAAAAAGCATTTTATTCAAAAAAATCCGATTTAAATAAAAAAAATCCGTTTTTTTTTTTTTTTTTTTTTTTTAAAAAAAATCATTGATTTTTATCCACCCTGTTCTGTAGACAAACTGTGTACAAAAGGCTTTCAGCTTGCCATATTGAATGCCATCTTACGGTAATACTGTTTTTATGTCAGTACTGCAAATTGAAAATGAAAGGTCATCTTTAAAGTACAGCCACAGGCAAAACTTTTTTAGTTTTGGATAGAGTACATAAGGATTAGAACACTTGTCAGTTTTTACTGCTGTTTGTATCCCCGTTAAGGAGGTTCACCCTCTCTATTTGTCCTGATTACCATTCTCATTCAAGTAGCTCAAAAAAAGAAAATCCAAAATTTTGGGTTGTCCACAAAAAAGTAGTAGAGGGAAAATCTTCCAATGGGAACACTATTTCTGTTGACCTGGGCGTCCCCAAGAAATTCTCCTAATTTACAAGGATTTCCTCTCACATCCTGTGTGGCTATGGGACAGAAAATGAAGGAAAATCTCCGCAATGGGACAGAGATGGGGTTTTAACCCTCCCTTACTCTATCCAAAATGAAAAAAAAAAGTTTTGTCTATAGTCCTAACATTCAAGTTTTAACATTCAATTGTAACACGGCTTGTTTTGCAATTGTATATGCTATATGTTTTTTTTTTCGCTATTCTTTTCCTAAAAAGCAGAGTTACCCTTTAAAATATATCTATAGACATTTTTTTACAGTTTTGGAGAGATTAGCGCTTAGGTAAATCCCCTGCAAAGTTTTTTTTTTTTTTCAGCTGTTTGTGAGACTGTGGGTACAATAAGAGCAAATCTTAGTAAGTGTAATTCCCATCTTAGATAGTTGTCACTGGAGCAGGTGTCCCCATTGGGCTTCCCCTCATATCTTGTTTTGGGGAAAACCAAATCTTGGCGACTTTCATTCACTTTCTGTTACAATGAAAACTCACCAAGACAAATAAAGAGCTTGAATCTCCCCAGTGGACAACAATAAAAAAATGGATGCTTGTTCTAACCTTTCCTTACTCTACCTAAAACTAAAAAGAACTGTTTCAACTAGAAGTACACGTTAAAACTGACTGACACCATCCATGGACGCTTTCTCCTGAATTCTATTAATGCTCATACAGTCACTTGTGGTGAGACGGCTGTTTATGTGCAGAGTAAAGGCGATAATGCTGTCAAAGGAAAATATTAAAAGACAAGCAGGTTCCTCTATGCAGCCACAGAACACATCTATATTTAAACACACTTTCTCACTGCATGCATAATTGTGCAATGTCATGTAGTGGAAGACTAAATACTTACCACTATAGACTAAATATTAATGAAAATGGTCCTTGAGCTGTACGGAACATAATATGTTTTACATACAGTATGTCACCAGTGCCTCAGCTGTACAATGACGTTGAGCAAGATAAACTGCATGATAAATGGCATAATGTGCAGCGCTTAGCTTGCCTATTTACAGTCATTTTTAGATTGAAGTATTTCTCAAAACTTGCCATTACCTGAAGCTTCTAGTGCCTGTCTATGATTAAAGCTGTGTGATAATGTAAAGGGTAACAAAGGCAAAACTTTTTTTTTTAGTATTGGATAGAGTGGAGAGGGATTAGAACACCTGTCATGTATTTATTGCTGTCTATGCCCCCCTAGTTAAATTTACCTTCTGTACTTGTTCTGTTTACTGTTATCATCGAAATGACAATCTTAAATTTTGGGTTGACATCAGAACAATAATAGAGGGGAAACCTTCCAATGGGGATACTAGTTCTGGTGACCCTGGTGTCACACCACGATTCCCTAACTTTGGAGGGATTTCCTCTCACTTGCTGTTTGGCTATGGGACAGGAAGTGAAGGGAAATCTTCCCTATGGGACACAGATGGCGAAAAAAAAAACTAATAGGAGTTATAACCCTCCTTTGCTCTGTTCAAAAGTTACATCTTAACCCCTAACGCCACACCTCCCAGCCCTTTAAAGGGTTTCTGATGCCGAGCTTTATAATCAGGTGACTGCCATGATTAGCTGTCACCGCGGTCACATAATCAGAAATCTTTCCATTAGGGGCCAATAACTGTGGCAGGAGCACACAGGGCACACGCTGTCGGCGCGTTTGTTTATATTTGGGTACACAAATATGCGGGATCTCTGCATCAAGGCCCACCTGCCCAGAGGCTGCATATTTGTGTACTGTCAGCGCAAAGAGTTAAGCACCCTTGGTTATGTGCTCATTTAATATTTTCTACCTTTTCAGTTGTTTTTTTGGAGAAGGCCTTTGAACAGACTGCAAGCTACTCTGAAATATTTGAAAGTGATAATGGAGGCATTAAAAGGAGACAGGCTGAGTTTCCTCTCATTAAAAACAATGCAGAACTCAAACCCTGAGATCTTTAACCCTTTGTTAGGACAAGACTATGTTCAAATTTAGTTTACAAATGAAACTGAGATCTGCCAGCACAGTACAAAGAGGGTTAATTATGTTAAATATTATCTTTTTTAACCCCCTTTTTAAAGCGGTATAAAACTCAAAAGTAATATATTGCAGCTTACAAACTTAGATGCGGTGGCTGCATTTGTTTTTATTTTTTTAGGCTTTTTCCCTCTGTTTTCACCTGGCGATCTGGCCAGTAACAAACCTCCTGTATTAGACTGTCCCCACTCTCGATGAAGGAGCACAGGGG